CGTGGTACCCTGGGTTTGCCAGAATGCCACAGGTATGGTAGGGGTGGTAGTTCGTCTTGGCTTGCCTTTCCTGGGGTGGCCTCAGGGCCTTCTGAAGTGAGGCCTTGGGCTCGAGATGGCAGAAGTGATCCAAAACTGAGCCCTGCGACTCACCAAGGGTTAACACCCCAATCAGGCTAGGGGAATGCTGGCATCTTTGAACCCAATACCCCAGCCCCTGACTTCCCCACAGGGTCTTAACACGCCATCAGGTGCAAACAGGTCTTGAGGCCATGGTGTGTGTGTGACAGAGAGGTTTGTTTATTTACAAATTGGAACGAACCTCCCTACCAGGGGACAGTCTTGCCAGATGAGAGACACCTGAGCACAGGATCACATGGGCTTGGGTTCAGCTCCTGGCCTCTCAAAGAGCTGCCTGTGGCTGCAGCCTTGCAAAATGATTTACCAGTTCTGGGCTGCAATATTCTTAACAGTAAAGTAAAGTGAGCACACGAGGCAGGGGTTCTAGGTCCCTGTACTATTAACATGGGGCTGGATACTCCTTTGTGGTGGAGCCTGCCTGTGCACTGTCCGGCGTCTGCAATATCCTTGGCCGCCACTCACTAGATGCCAGTGACAAGCCTCTCCTCCCAGTTATGACATCCAAAAATGTCTCCAGTCATTGCCTAATGTCCCCTGGGAATAGTCACCTGTGTTTAAGAACTGATGCAAAGCACCCATCAGGGTGCCTGGTGCCCAGCAGGCCTGAAGGAAGGTGTCACGCAGTTTGCCTTCTGACCACTCTAGGAAAGGGAACGGGGTGCCTATCAGATGGAGCACAGTGGCCTGAGGCCGTCCTGCGTCTTCCCCTCCTCACTCAGCCCGCTTCTGTGGAATTTGAAGCCTGTACGTGTGCGTGCGTGTTTACAATTCAGAACCCGCAATGGAAAGCAAATTCTGAAACATCTCCCAGCCCACCCTTTTTGCACCATTCTCTGCACTGCTGACCCCCAAGTCTAGCTGAGCCACCGCCCCTCCTTGGTGTAGCTAGAATGTGCCCCCTTTCTCTCCCTGCTTTATGACCAGCTTTTTTATTTTGTTTTTAAGATTTTATTGGGGAATTGGAAGAGGGGAGCAGTGTTGGGGAATCGGGGAAGGGGAACAGACAAGTTGCTGTCGTTTTGTTCTTCAGTCTAGTTGTGGAGGACGTCGCTTCACTGGCCCATGTTGGTATTATCATTGCGCTCTTCCCCGTCAAGGCAGATCAGTCGCCGGCCTCTGGACGGTCACTCATGGTGGCTAATGGCAGCTCACACCAGCTGCTGGCAGCTCACACCAGCTGCTGGTCACACATGGTAGCTTATGGCATCCCACTCCAGCTTCACTGCAGCCTACACTGTCGCCGGCGACTCATGGCAGCCCAGCTCCAGGTCAAGCTGTTGTTCACCATCTTAGCTGTAGAGGGCACAGCATCACTGGCCCTCATGTGGGATCCGAACCGGGGTCCTGCTGCTCACAGCTGGCATCCCAGGCCAGCTCTTAACCAACGCGCCACTCAGCCGGCCCACGACCAGCTTTTTATCCTGCCCAATTTATGCAAACATGGCTTCTTAATTGACATCCCCATATTTAATGATACTCCGCCACAGAGAGTAGAAAACTGTTTTTGCGAAGGGCCAGATAGTTAAATAGTTAAGAATTTCTGGAACATAGGGTGTCTGTCCCAACCACTCAACTCTGCTGTCATAGTGCAATGAGTGTGGCTGTGTCCCAACAAATCTTTACTTACAAAAACAAGTAGTGGGCCAGACTTCTCCCATGGGTCGTTTGCCAATTCCTCACCTACTCTCCCATCCCCAACTATCTCCTGTTGCCAAATTAAGCTTTAGGCTTTACAGAGCCCAGAGTTCATTAGTCAAGCATGCATTCGCTTAGCAAACCCTCGTAAAATACCTGCTTTGCAGTTAGCATGCTGCTGAAGACTGGAGATGGAACAGGGAATGGGACACAGTCCCCTGCCCTCAGGATGCTCGCAGACAAGATGGCAGTGGCAGTACTTGGAGTGATGTGAGGTGTGGCCGCAAGCTGCAGTGAGGCATAAAAGGCAGGCAGTTGACGTGCTTTAAGTGTCAACGAAGGCTTGCTGGACGAGAGAGCTCTTGATCTGGGAACTAAAAGACAAGTAGAGAGTAGCCAGGCAAGGGAGTGGGGCGGGCTTTCCAAGCAGAGGGGTCAGTGGATGGGAAAACCTAATGGAGTTGGGAAGATTGGGCTACCAGAGGCTCCTAAGGCAGGCCCTTCAAAGAGAGAGCTCAGATCCCAGCAGAGAGCCCGTGAGACAGGGTCCCTCACCCTGAGATGGCTCTGCAGGGAGGGAAGACCACATAGGCAGACATGTTTCCATGAAAGCGTTTTCTGCTGAAGGAGGTGGAGAGAAACCTGTGTCTCTCATGACCGTCTCTGTCTACCACTGCTCCCGTGGCCATTTCATGCTCCCCTACGAGGCCACACCTGGCGTTCTCAGAAGTCTGTCTTTCAATTCAGAGGTGAGCCAGGAAGGTAGGGAAAGCTGAAACAGACCTTGGGGCCAAAGTAGAATCTGTCACAGTGAATTTCTCTTAGGAGGGCCCTCAAGGTCCCGAAGTTTCTGGGGCTTCTCAGAGAGAAGGACGTGGCATCCATGTGGAATTCCTGTTCACAAGGATGTGAAATGTTCCTTGCGTAGCCCAGTCGAAGAGAAGGATGATAGTCGGTTCATAACCAGCAGAGGACTTTTTTTGTAGTAATCAAGACTCTTTGGGTTGTAAGTAACAGAAAAACGAGCTTAGACAAAATAAGACATTTACTGACTCATGTAACTAAAACAAACAGTGGCATTACTAACGGCAGGGAAAGCTGGAGCCAATACTGCGAATGACGTCACCGGGACTCAGTGACTCTGTTTCTCAGTTTCTGGGCTCTGATTCCCTCTGGGTTGGCGTCTGCTTTAGGCAGACCCTCTTCAAGAGGCAATGCTTGGCAGCTCCAGGCTTCACATTATTTTTACAGCTGTCAATCACAGCTGAAGGAGATACTTCCCCCCCAAACTCCAGCAGAGAGCCTCAGGTTTAAGGCTCATTGGAGTTACCAGGGCTTAACTCATGCACTGGTTTTGGTAGATGGGCATTAACCCACATCCCGGTGGGACTGTGAGAGTGGAACCCACTGATTAGCCAGGCCTGGTCACGTGACTGTATCTAGAGGAAACGGGAGGCGGGGCTAAGCCACATCTGTACTAGGTACATTGTAGGCTGAGGGTAGAAGTGTCCCCTGAAAGGAAACCAGACACTCTCCTTGAGGAAAAGTGAGCACTGAGGGGCAAGGACAATAAAAGCCCCCTGTGATTTCCTGAGGACAGACAGGGTTAACTTTTCATGTGCAGAACCACAGCACAGACGGAAGACCGTGCGCAGCCCCAAGCGCTATGAAAACCTGTTAGAAAGAAAGAAATGGCTGTGCATTTCTGCTTCCAATGGCGCAGACGGTTGGAGAAATTACTCTGGGGGAAGAAAAGGCCTGATGGGAGTGTTTTCACTTGTAAAATGTTTTAAACTTATCGTAAGCCTGCTTCTCTTCCACGTGTCATCTTTAGCATTCTAATTAAGGCCCCCTCTACACAAATGAGCCAGTTCTGTGCCGGCTCTGAGAAGAAACTTCTCCCCCCCCGGCTAGGTCACAGTGTTTCTGCTGCACTCGAGTCACTTTAGCAGAGAGGCTCTCAAATGTTGGTGGTGAGGCCTGAGGAGATGTGAGCAAATTCTGACATTTTTGTCTTGCTAGCATTGGATGAGGCCTGAAGTCACATCTAACTGAGCACAGACAATGGGAGAGGCAGCCACTTGGTGTGCTTAACTGCTAAGCTCTCTCTGTCTCCCTCTCTCCCTCTCTCCCTAACTGTGCAATCTCATCTCTTGAGACCATGGAAAATTTGGACCTCTGGGTTACAGTTTCTGATGCCGTGTGTGTGTGTGTGTGTGTGTGTGTGTGTGTGTGTGTGTGTGTGTCTGTGTGTCTGTCTGTCTGTCTGTCTGTGTGTGTCGGTGTGTCGGGTAGGGTAGTAGAGTTATGGGGGTGGGGGTGGAGGTGGAGAGAGAGAGTGAAGATGTTTCCTGAAATGGAAGCATTTGAATTCAGGGTGTTTTTTCTTTTTCTTTTTTTTATTCTTTGACTTGACTGTAATTATCACACTGCATGTTTTGCCTAGATCTGAAGAGTGAATTGTTATATAATACTCTGTGATTATAAATAAATAAATAAGACAGGGGTGAGGGGAGGCATTGACTAATGAGGCTGCATGAAGTCCAGCACTTTGCAGAGACTCGTAAAATGGGGCTATCACCCAGTGCCATCTTTAGCCAAATTAGGCCCTGAATTTTCATTGGCTGCTTCATATTGGCACTGGGAACATCTCTCTCTCTCTCTCTCTCTCTCTCTCTCTCTCTCTCTCTCTCTCACTCTCTCTCACACACACACACACACTCTGACCATTAAAAGGACACCCCCTCCCATTCTGTGAGCCAAGTCACATACAACTTTGATTAAATTCAAATGCTTAGACGAATTGTCTCTCCTCTCAAGAACACACACATTCAATTTAATCTCTCTTGGCATTTTAAGTACCAAATCAAGGCTCCGCTGTCACTGGAGACAAGTACAGGCTCACATGTCCCCAAATGGGAATGAAACAAGGAAGATTGGCCAGGAACGTCCAACCCAGTAGAACAGAGAGCCTCGCAGCCTTTGCCTGTTGGGCTGAGGGGCTGCGGAAAGGGCGGGCCCCTTTCTGAGCTGTGATTCCTGCATCTGCACGATGGGGTCCTGGGAAGGATGGTTACATCTTCCTTGTAGGGCCTGGTGAAGATTAGCGGGGACGCCCTGATCTCGGGCACCTACAAAGCGCCTGGGTACCTGATCCCTGGGCCCGGGGAAAGGTTCAGCTCGCCCCCGCTCACGCTGTTCTCTCTACCGTTGTGATTTTTCAGGGTAATCAGGAAGCAGCAGCTGCCCCTGACACAATGGCTCAGCCTTATGCTTCGGCCCAGTTCGCCCCTCCTCAGAACGGCATCCCCGCGGAATACACGGCCCCTCATCCCCACCCCGCGCCAGAGTACACGGGCCAGACCGCCGTCCCCGAGCACACGTTAAACCTGTACCCTCCTGCCCAGTCGCACTCGGAGCAGAGCGCCGCGGACACCAGCGCGCAGACCGTCTCGGGCACCGCCACAGTAAGTGGGCTCCATCTCTGGGGGGGGCGGGCAGGGGCCCCCAGGATGCCAGGAGTGACAGTGGGGTGCACCCGCACCCACCCGTCCTGCTGGTGCCTGTCATCCCCGCTCCACAGTTGGCCTCATCTGCAGGCGTCGTCTCCTATTACTTATTTAAATCGACACGTTATTCGTGAATTACGCTCATTTGTGAAGGGCCACGTTCATCTACGTTGTGTTCCTACAGCTTTACCTTTTCTGGAATTATGTCATTTCATTGGGATCATACACTATTGTAACATTGTCTTAAACAGCTTTATGGAGGAGATATATGAATTTGCATACCATAAAACTCGCCGATTTTATGTGTGCCATTCACTGATTTTTAGTGTATGTTCAGAGTTGTGCCAGCGTCACCATAATCTAATTTTGGAGGAGTCCCATCACCCCCAAAACAAATCTTATGCCCATCCATGTGCAGCCACTCTGCATGTCTGCCCCAGCCCTCCGTAAATGAGCCTCCGGCATTTGAGGTTTGTCCCTGATTGTGATGTGTGACCCCATCTCTTCCGTTTTATTGCTGAGTCCTGGGGCTGGAGGCTTGGAATGCAGAGGCTCTCTCCCCCCACCACCCCTCTTCTCCCCCAGTAAGAAAGACAGAGAAATTGTTCTGTCTTTTGATAGTGGTTGGGTGCACGACTCACTTTATGTACCCAAAAGAATACATTTTATTCCAGGTGGATGAGTTAAATGGGTTCAAAACAAGCCACATGACACAGAAAAAGAAACATTTTAACACCACCATCGATAAAAACTAGCGTTATTGGCTATGAATCAAAGATCACCCTGAAGGAAAAATGATTATTAAAATTAACATTCATTTGTGTATCACCTAAGGTAGCCATGGATACCGCAAGATGTCCATTTGGGAAATCACGTTCTTCAGGATTCTTAGCAACTTGGGCACATCAGGCCTCGAGTCTGGAATATTTTGTAAGCGTAAGGTATATGTGCCTCTCCCTCCTGCCCCCAGGCCTCTGGGAAACCAACATTTGTGAAGAATTTTGTTGGTTTGAAGCATGATATATCTCTTGTACCACTCTGCTAACCTGGAGGTTAGATTTGGAAAAGTTTTAAAATAATACACATTCTAAAATTTTCTATTGCTTTCTCCCCTTTTTTATTGTTGGGCAAAACATAAAAGTTACATTTCAATGCATACAACTCAGTGGCCTTAAGTATATTCGCAATGTATGCAACCATCAACATTGTCTAGTTCAAGAACACTTTCATCCCCCAAAAGGAAACCCTACGCCCATGAAGCAGGCATTCCCCATCCCTCCCTCCCCCAGCCTCTGGCAACCACTAACCTGCTTTCTGTCTCTATATATTTGCCTATTCTGGATACTTCATAACAATGAAATCATGTGATATGTGGCCTTTTGTGTCTGGCCTCTTTCTAATAATACAAGGTTTTCAGGGGTCATCCATACTGTAACGTGTATCAGCACTTCCCTCCTTTTATGACTGAATACTATTCCATTGTATGGATGGACCACATTTGGTTATCCTTTCAGCCGTTGATGGGCACTTGGGTTGTCTCTGCCTTTGGCTCTTGTGCTGCTGTTGCCTTTGTGTATCTGGCAGCTGCAGTAACTTAGGCGGGAGCTTATTAAATGGGCTTGGTGGTTGTGAGGTGTCTGTGTTTAACTGACTACCAGATGGCAGTGATGGGGTTGTGTATTTGCTTGCTTGTTGGTTATTTTGTGATAACCAAAGGATTGAAAAAAGGTTCAATCAGACATTATTTATTAAGCCTTAACATGTGCCCACTAGACTAACTGCTTTGGAAGATTCATTCATTCTTTTATTCATCCATTTATTCAAAATACTTATTAAATCTCTGCTAAGGCCAGGGTACATATTAGGTGATATGGTTGAACCAAATAGAAACGGTCTCTCTTGTAACTTAGTGTGAGAGGCAGACAGTGAACAAGTGGTGTTGCAACAGCTACCTACACACAAATTGTGACCCACGCTCTTCAGGAAAAAGTGGATGCTAAAAAAAAGAGTAGGGGTGCTGCCTGCAAATGCATATAGTCTGGGAACCTTTCTTCAGGGAGATGGTATTTAAGGTGAGGAAACAAAGCTTTTCAGGCAGAAAAAATAGGAAGGTCGGGGGTCCTCAGGTTGGAAAGAGCTTGGGTCATTCAAAGAATTAGAAAGAGGACAGTGTGTCCAGGGCCTGTGGAGAGGGTTTGGGGACGGGGGCTAGGGGTGGAGGGGGGCGCGGTGTGCAGCAGCAAAGGATAAAATGGGTCCAGCAAGGATCACATCCCCCAGGCCTGGTGGGTCCGGTTAAGCAGGTGGATTTCCACATTAGGAGCAATGGGAAGTCATTGAAAAGAGCTTAAGCCAGAAGAGTTAGAAAATGAAATTTAAACGAAAGAGTTAATGATGCCGACCTAAAAGGAAATCTTGATTCCGTTGGGAAGCTGAGATGCTCAACATCCTTCTCTGCAGCGAGGCGGGCTGGTGAGCAGGCAAACTCTCTTCCCTTACAGGGCTACTGGTTCACTAGAGAATACAGGACATGTGTTCTGTTTATTATTGTAATGTGACAAGTTCTAGAGCATGGAAGCAATCAAATAATTGATGGAATTGGGCAAACAACCAGGAATCCGGTTCAGACGATGCTTAGGGTATTTGCAGGGCAATGAGTGCCTCTTGGAGTTTGGAGTGAGTGATTTGGTGGTCGGCTGCTTAGCTGGTTACTTTGCCTCCTTACAGCAATTTTTTAGGGAAAAGAGCCATTATAAGCTGAAGCAGGTGGGTTTGTGGCTGGTCCTGAGGATCATAAAAGTGGCCATCTTGCTTTCTGCTATGGACGATGCCAGGCATATGTTTTTCTCTCTTTGGCCTCTGCTGTCCATGCCCAGCTTCTGGGTTGTGCTTTTCCGACCTGACTGTGCAGAACAGGGTCTATGACAGGTTTGCCTTAAGTTGTGTCTGCATCCTCACTCATTTGCCGAGTGCACCTTCTCCCCACTCCAGTTTCTGCATCTCCCTAGGAAGGAATTTAATCTGCAAGTGGGTCAGACCCAGGATTCTCCCAATCCTGGGAGACGTGGCCCCTGTGTTCGCACACTGAAGCTGTCTCCATAGGTTAGTGTCATGCCTGAGTAACTCCAGCTGTCCTCTGGCATACAGCCACGGCGCTTAATGCCAATCCGAGGGCACTGCCGAGGCCATGATTTCTTCGAGAAAATGGGTGGTTTGGGGTAAGAGAAAAGATCCACCCATCTGCTGGGCTCCAAGATCTTCTAATATATGCACATGATTTAACACAAAGTGCAGAATCTGTGAAAAGAAAGCGGGCTACACCCAGAACTACAAACCAGAGCTGAGAAAGGACAGGCAGCCGAGACTTACCAGGTCACCCCTTCTGCTCCCTAAGGGCCGAGATGAGTCTGTGCAGGACGTTTTTCTGCTGAATGTCTATTTAATGTAGGCCTCCAAACACCTGGATCAGTGTGCTGACAGAGCCAATACTGGATTCTATTAGATACCGCTCCTGACAAGGTATTTTACTCTTGACATATTATAATTAGAGATTTGCAAGTGGTGAATTCTCCATGTATCTCCAATAGCAACTTAACTTCTATTTTTAACACCTCTGCAGTCTGTTTAAAAGTCTCCCACCAGCTCTGGGATCTGATGGGAGAAAAGAATGTGGGTCTTAGAACTTGTTCCCCGAGCTCTATTGATAGAGAGAAGAGCCGTTTAAGGAACCAACTTCTCCTTAATCCTCAGCTGCTTTCATGGGAGTGCTAACTGTGTCTCCAGATTTCATTAATACCTTTAAGAAGATAAGACATGGGTTGGTGAGGACTTCCTTTTCTTAACCATTTACATGCTGGCCCACTAGAGAATCTAGGATATGGGAGCCAAGTATGTAGCTAAGGTATGGGGACAACTTTTCAATGCATTCCGTTCTGTTAACTAGCCATTATTGTTATTATTATTATTATTATCATTATCATTGTTACTATTACTGCGGTAATTCAGGTTTGGGGTTTAAAAAGTCATGCATGAGAAAAGGCTGTACAGTGAACACTAAACTTTGATGGTGCCCACAACCCCAGTTCTTCGTCTCCCTGCTGGAAACAGCAGTTGCCCATCCCTTCTATTTTCCTCCAGAAGCATTTTATGCCAATGCAAGCATATGCCAGTGTCTTAGTCCGTGCAGGCTGCTATAACAGAAATAGTATAAACTGGCTGGCTGATCAGCAACAAACCTTTATTTCTCACAGTTTGGGGGCTGGGAAGTCCAAGATCTTGGCACCAAGAGATTCGGCGTCTGGTGAGGACCCCCTTCCTGGTTCACAGACGCCCATCTTTTTACTGTGTTCGCACATGCCGGAGGGGCGAGGGAACTCTGAGGCCTCTTTTAGAAGGGCTTCACCCTCCTGACCTGATTACCTCCCAAAGCCCACTCCCTAATGCCATCCCCATGCAGGCTAGGACTTCAACATGTGCATTTTGGGGGGTCACAGGCATTCTGTCTATAGCAGCCTACTTGTCTCTATCTGTCTTCTCTCTCTTGCTCTATTTCTATCTCTATCCCTATCTCCATCTCTATCTTTATCCCTATCTCCATCTGTTTTCTATCTCTCTGTCTCTCTAAATCACTCTTCTAACTTCTCACTAGTTCCATCTTCAAAATAACGGAATTGATATCGATTTAGCACCCACTTTGGCACGCTTTATATCTGGGAGATCATTTTGTATCACACTTTGGGATCTAATTCATTCTTTTTCATATTTTCCTTGGACTTCCGGTCTCTGGGGTTTCTCTTACAGTGTTATTCCCAGTCATGCTGTAGTAAATAGCTGGGTTCAAATATGGCTGTCCACATGTGGGTGTCTCTGTGTGAATGGTTAAAAGATAGATGGATTTCAAATGTGGACACCATTCACTTACCCTACAGAGAGCCCATTTGCACCCCCACAGACAGTTC